TTGGTTAGCCGCCTGATACCCGGATCGGGACTAGCTCAGGGCCCAGGGCCCACTTCTAGAACTTTTCCATGCAGGAAGGAAGGCCCCACTTAACTTTAATCTCTTTATTTTTATTTTGAGTTCTTGGCTCTTTCCGGCCGTCCGTGCGTTTTCTCCTTCCTTTCTTCAATGATGAAACAAGATCGTCTTTTTTGGAAGGAGCAACAACGACAACAAAACAATAACAAAAAGTGATAGGCGGTGGCTGTTTGGGCTTTGATATCATCTATTAGCGTGCAGCTTTTCTTCTCTATTTTTATTATCTTTCTCTGTAGATAAGACTGTCTTGGAGGGGATTGCTGGTGTTTGACTAGTCGCCAGCTTACCCACTCCCTTGCATCGAGCGTAAAGGGGGCACGTACTCCGTACGTCTATTTACTTACTCCAAGTGTATGTATATCCAACAGTTATCAATCATGCATACAACACGGCCGAATGTGCAGACTCTGCACCCCATAGCTAGTCTAGCCAGCATTTTCCTCCTTGCTGCCTCTCTTGATCCCCTTTGCATTCCTGAGTACCCTCGCTCAGCCCATTTGGCAACGCTATTCCAATTGCAGCCAGTCCTTGCATAAGCCTTATGGCCGATTGCATATCCTGGATATTATCGCCTCTCTTTACTTTTTTCCCCTCAGGCCTTGCCACTGTTTTCTTATGAAGGAGAGTCCCTGGGACGAATGAAGGCTTACCGGGACCCTCCGACGTGTCGATCCATCTCCCAGATGGTTTGTTCGAGGAAATTTAGATTCGGACACCTTCCTTTACATGAGTTGTTTACTTTTGCTTGCTTCTTCTGACATGCTGACTTGCTTACCTCATACTCGATTTTCTTCTATATACTGTTCTGGAAGAAGCTCGCCTTTAGGCCAGTTTGACATGATCGCTTGCTGTCTCTCTGGGCTACATCATGCATCCCCTCGTAGTTGTTGCATCTGCCTAATTAGAATGCATTAGCTAACCCCAGGTATACGTCAACACGGTTATACCAGAACCTGTTTGTCGGGCCGAGCTTATGGCCCCCTCTCTTTGACCCTCCTTCACGGCTTGAGGAAAGGGACTAACTACCCGAGAATCCACTTCGCTTCTCGTTTGCGTGCAGAACTGAAGAGCAGGATGTGGGTAGCGTTACCTGAGGATAGTTAGCGAAGTACGGAGTAGCAACAATGCGGTAGGAGTTCCTGGGGGCCTAAACTCCCGAACAACAGCAGTGTTTAGCCCCAACTGGAGCCCTCTAGTGACTGATGCTTTTGTCTTAGCGCCCACTTTGTGAGTCTCATGTTATTTATTGTTCGATCCCTCTTCTCGAAAGAGACTATGCGAGTAGCAAGTCCATCGTCAAAGCCAGATAGAAGGGATTGGCAATGCAGGTGCAGGAAGAAGATCAGCTTCCACTGACTACTGTTGTGCGATATTCTACTAACTGACTGGACTAGATTCCGGTTATATGGTGTCTAGGGCTCCGAGAAGACTCCGGATCATCTTCTGCATGTACAGCGGAGCGACCCTTTCGCGTTGGCCAATTATTCGCCTTCAACAGATGTTGTGACAGCCAACTTTAACCCAAGGCTTGCCAAACGGAGACCCTGCTGCATATAACCCTTTCTACCCCTGCGTAGGGGTAGATCGGCTTGTCATTCAAGGCCTCGTTCCCGGGGTTGTGTTTTAAGTCCTGGCTGATCAGACCAGAAAGAAAGTTCATCTGCCAGAAAACGGGGCCCCAGAATAATTACCACCTCGATTCATGTTTGAACCCATTCCAAGATTCACCCTATCCGTTGGTTTTTGCCACTGACGATCAAAGAAACCGGGCACAGTAAAAATTGTTCATCCCATATCAGAACCAAACCCATGCATATTGGTGATCGGTAAATGTTCGGACTTTAGCCGTCTGTAATCAAACTGCCAACTGCAAAACACCATTCTGCATCTTGGTTCTAAAAAGGTTACAAAGACTAGTTAGCGGCAAGTTGCAGACTGCTGAAGAAGTCAATTGCAGCATCGTATAGCATGGATCCGGTGTCATGCATTCTCTTGGTGTGAGAGTCCCAACTTCCAACATCAAGCTTGTAGCTTCCCCCCCCCCCCCCCCCAAAAGTTCCTGCTTGCTTCCGTGATGATGTCTCTAATCCCATGTACTTTGAGCTGTATTCGTATAGGCTTGAAAAGTTAGCTGGAGGGGCCATCTGGCAACTAATTGGCAATGTGAGTTGACCCCTGAACCATGCGCCGTAGACGGCAGTCAACCGTTCGATATTAGCACCGCAAGCCAGGGGAGACCCGAAGGTACCATCCCAATAGCACATCGAGCCCGTCAACAGCTCCTCCTTGCCGTTGGGGTCTGAAGCTAGCAACATATCCTGGGTGGGGGGGGGGGGGGGGGGGAA